TTTTATTGCTGTAGGAGCATATCTACATGTATCAATAACAAAATATCTTTCTTTGCTACTAGAAAACTCGTGACTTGTTTTTCTATTTGAATTGTTGTGACAGCCCACTTTACACATTATCCTCATGTCATGATGTCACCAGCTGAGTTAATGTACGTGTGTTTATGCCTATTGCAATAATAATCAGGTTTTTATTAAAAGCATACAACAAGTGAATTACAAAATGAGCAAAAATTTAATAATAAATACAAAAGAAATATAGAGCAAGAAAGAGTAATAATACATGTACACGTACAGTTAGTATTTCCTTTCCTCTTCCTCCTCCTCTTCCTCTGATACTACTGGCTCCACTGACCATTGCCGCTGTGATCAAACACTTCATTCTAAATAATAATAAAAATAATTACAAATAATAATAGATAGCTGCTATTTATGCATTATGCTGTTACCAATTACTCATCAGTTACACGCAAGATATAGGTACATGTGCACACGAGGTATATATGTACTTATTAAAGTACCTGCTTGATGTATCATTACTTCTTCACTCTAATACAAGAATCTATCAACAGCTTCCTCTTCTCTTGTGAATGATAAATCCTATTAGTAATAAATGTTTGTTTTACCACTAAATGTAACAAGAGGAGAGGGAGAGCTTACCATTGCTGAGTGAATACTGTTAGCAAAAGTCAGCAATAAATTGAAAGTTCTTGACACAGAGCATCATCTCCATCAATAGCACCCTAGCTGCTGTGGCTCTATCATCTTACAGTACTAGCCATATCACCTGATGATAGTTAAAGGTATGTATCACAAGGCTCTCCTTCTGCAGTGTGACAGAGCCAGTGAGACATAGCATCTACTAACAAGAAACATATCAGCATTGATAATTAAGGTAATCAATTAATTATTGCATATAGTATCTCTGATTATAATATGTGACCATAATTGACAAAAGGTACCTTATGGCGGATGGGAAAATTGGTCTTTATAGCCTAAAAAATCCAACTTCCTGAGTTCCATTTATCATAAAATTAATCCAGAGGATGCAAAAAGTTACTATGTAACTTTTATAAACAATTGTTGACTAACAGGGCACTCACAGGTGGATATTTTTCATTATAATGATGAATTTAAAAATCCGCCATAAGGTACCTTTTGTCAATTATGGTCACATATTATAATATCATGTACCTGGAAATTTATGCTTTGGAAAATTTTTGCATAATTTAACTTTTAAGCAATAAAATTGTGTGATGCATTATTATTAAGAATTCTCTCCTAGCTATGCCCATAACTCAAAAATTATTTGTTGGAAATGGCACAAACGGTCTAGATAGCATCAGGAAATTAAGTATCAGAAAATGTAATAAAATGGGGGTGATTGTGGGCCATTAAAAAAAGCATGTGCTATTAGCCTTTGCTTTCTTCAGAAAATGGCTTGTTTTTAATGCACATAACTCAAAAATTATTAAGGTGGAAACAATTACATTGGGGCCAGATTAAAAACATGTGCACAAACATACAAACAGAAGAGTGCCAATTATGTAGGGCTTGTTCAGGCTCACTCTAATTAATAATATAACTTACACACCTTTTGCAGAAGTGCCAATGAAACAGGGAACATCAATAATGTATAAATGGTACATCCTAGAGAGAGGAGAGAGTAAAGGGGTCAAGCAACAAAACAATATATGCACATAAGTAGCTCAAGAGTTTTTTCAGAGTTACTAAATTTAGCAGCATTGGAAGTTTATAGACGTACATGTATGTACATAGTATAGAATGGACAGTACTGGCCATAAAAATTCAAATAATCAAGCTGAAACACAATTTTGTGAGATGAGTGTTAGTAACAAGTAATAATATTCATTGCGTAACTATGGTCATCTCTTTCAAGGCTATAACTGCTTCACATTACCTATAAACATATGAGTACTGCAACAGACCAGCAGTTGGAAAATCTTTAACTCTATACTATAGGCTTTATAGGTTTGCTAGAACTAGTCTGCTGTCATGTAAACAGATACTACATATCATCCATAAACTAGCGACTACTGACTAACTGACTATGAGAACAAGGTGCAACTCTACAGGGTAATGCTTAATATGCTATTTCATTGCTGCAAGGTCTCTCTTGTTCACTTTCCATTTAGAGAGTAACGAGAGAAGCTCTCGAAAGACTCTTAAAAATTTGGTATAAGAAACCCAAGTGCAAGAGATGCTGTTCTTGTTTATATTGTAGAAGATCTAACCATCACCCTCCTCCACCACCACCTAGTGGTGGTGCCAACAGGTGAGTGAAACCAATTTATTGTACATGGTTAATTATGATTAAATTTTCTTTGGCACTAACTTCGTAGTCTGTAAGCATGGTTAGTTGATTACAACAGGAAATAGCATACCTCTTGGCTAGTAGGGACTGTAATGCAGTGGAAGCATAATAGGCTGTAAATTCAATACAGAAGTAAACGAAAATGTCACAGGACCTCCACAGGGTCAACAGCACAACACATTTAATTATTGCACTCAGTTAGTGACTGTCCTTATTCCAAAATTATACTGCTATTGTTTTTACAGAATCATGTTTCAATAGTATTTCAACAATTAATGATCTACAAAAATTTTACAGTGATGGGTGTTGTAATGTTAAACATCTGGAAGGTATGAGGAAACTGGATCATTGCACAACCTGTTTGAGCTGACTGAGGAGTTTGATGCCGTGAGAACATTATGGTGCATAGTTTGCTTAGATTTTGGTGATTGAGATGGTCCAGATAAATGTATTTCTACTCTGTCTTGTATTTTCTGTGTTTACAGGCAACATCAATGATGAAATATGAAAAGTGCCACCTTTGTTTTGACCTTTATTTTTTGAAGCAGCAAAATACTGCATTCTATTATCTTGTGTTAGTAATGGTGGAGGAAAGAATTTTTTATTGGTTTTACTACAGACATTGTCAGTGGGAAAGAAAGTAAAGTGGAGAGTTGCATTAGTACGACAAACCCTAATACTGATTGGTGTGGCTTTGGGAAGGACAAAGAGGCAAAAGGTGATAGTGGAAATTATAAGAAAACTGTTTTATAGCAATTAGTAGAAGTTTGTGTAGCTTTTCAAGTTCAAAATCTAACCTTAACGTAAGTAGGTGTGATCACACCTACTTACATATAAATGCGTAATACGTAAATGCATAAAGCTACAGATGCTACCTACTTGAGTATAAATGCCAAGTCTGTCAGCAAGTGGTGGCTGGCGTGACAATGGACTAGGCAGAAAGCAATTCGCCGTTGACACCGACTCCAATCAAGCGTAAAGAGGTGCAAAGGGAAAGAACAAAATCTTTAAAAAAGAAACACATGAATTGAGGATAAATAACTTGTAGTTGCTGTCTATTCCTTTTAAACGAGCATGTGCAGAATATAACCACTGCTCCACCTTACGTGATGATTGCTACAGCACTGAGCATGAACACGGGTATAAAACGGGGGCCCTTGGGCTGCCCAGTCAATTAAAAATGGCGGGTGGCTTTAGAATGTAGTTGAAAATGGGCAGTGAAGAATCACAGAATGCAAGCACCACAGGCATCCACAAGATCTAAAAAAGACTCTTAGAAGAGTACAGACAGTTTTACTAACTCCCTATACGAGCAGAAGACTCAAAAGAGCCATGCATCATGCAGCTTTAACTAAAACTATAAAATTAAACATGGCTGTCAACAGACGAAAGCTATCTAGCTTGTTCTTAGATAGCAAGGATTGAAAATCTTCTAAATGATGACTAAAGGCACCTTTCTCTTAGGCAGACTCAAACTCGATGTTAAAAGTAATCCTGAATGAGTCCTTGATCGTCCTGAAGCTTGGCCTGTTTCACTATGACTCGCTATAAACAACTTAACCGTGATTTAGTCAGAAGATAAGAACAAGAAACATGTGGAAATAAGAGGCCAGGCAATTGTAGCCTCTTCCTTTTACTGTTACTATGTAAATCAACTGATGTTATCAAGATCTTTATCATGTGTAATCGCCATTTTGAATATTTGCTTCCATTTTTGGGCAGACCACCCCCCTTTTATACTGCGCATGCTCGTTTAAGACTACTTTTTCTTTCATTTCTGTCCAAATTGCTCTTAAATTTGATACATTCTGATAGTTCCTCAATGGTGTCAAAGGATTTGGTACTTTTATTGAGTGTGGCTCACATACATCTTTTTACTCTAGATGTTGGCAACTGTCCTTGGGTAGGCCTCCTCAAAGGGATTGAGGAAAAGCATTCATCTGATCAGACTCAGTGCTACAGATGCAAAGAATCTCACTCCAACTACAAGGAGAAATGCCATTCAATCGACAAAGTTTGTAAAGTTGATACCACTTATTACTGATAACTATTTACTAGTATTATTTTAATTGGTGAGGAAGATAATAGTGGCCATAACTCTTTTGCAAATTCTTATTCGTATTGAACTTGCTCCTCTTATTCTTCTGGATCTTTATCCAGTTGATCTTACTTATGTTCTTGATACTATTCGCCTTCAATACTCTCTTGCTTTGATTGATTATGGAACTGCCGCAGGGATTCTTGCTGCTCAGGCTGTCTCTGAACCTCTTACTCAATATATGTTGGATTCTCATCATCGTTCTGTTGGTGGTGGTACTAATAAATCTGGTATTATTCGCCCCGCTGAGATTTTTGGTGCAAAGCCTGTTGAAGCTGAACAATCTTCTGAGATGCTGCTTCGTGTTTGTTCTGAATATGAATCTGATCGTTCTGAGGTTCTTCAGATTGCTAATCAGATTGAGCTTATGTCTCTTGATCGCTTTGTTTCTGTTTGGGATCTTCTTATTGAGACCTTTGGCGAATTGCGCTATCCTCCCTTTCTTAATGATAAAATTTGGATTTCTGAATTTTCTCAGAATTATCCTCTTCTTCCTCCCCCAGCTGATCTTACTAATTGGTGTATTCGTCTTGAAATTGATAAGGGGACAATCATTCTTAAAAGTATGCGCCTTGAGCTTATTATTGAACGTATTCGTTCTAGGTTTCCTGCTGCTTATGTTATTCATACTCCTGAGAATGTTTCTCAGATTGTGATTCGTATTTACTTTCGTGCTTCTCAGTTTCGTTGTGGCATTCAAGATGAAGATAAAGTTTTGGATTTGATTACTAAAGATCTTCTTCCTTTAACTATTCGAGGTGTTCCTGGTATTCTTGCTGCTAATGTTGTTGAAATTAAATGGCATGTTATTGGTAAGGATAATGCTCTTGTTCTTTCTACTTTCTATGCAATTCATACTATCGGAACTAATATTTATGGTGTTTTATCTAATCGCCGTATTGATCCTCTTCGTATTGTTAGTTCCTCAATTGGGGATACTGAAAAAATTTTCGGTATTGCTGCAGCTCATCTTACTATTATTCGTGAGATTCGACACTTTATGGCTGACAAGGCTCCTAATCCTCGCCATCTTATATTATATGCTGATGAGATGACTCGTACTGGTCGCATTACTTCACTTGAGAAAGGTGGGATTAATATTCGAGAACATGATAATATATTTCTTCGTATGGCTATGTCTGCACCTACTCAAGTTCTTCAAGATGTTGCTACTTGTAGTGCTTCTAGTCGTATTTATGGTGTTGCACCTTATCTTATACTTGGTCGAGCTCCTCCCCTGGGCACAATATAGAAGATTGATTATGTACCTACTCTTTAATTGTAGCCACTAAGAATGAGTCAACAATAACTCTCTGATTGAACAATGCATCATCTTAGGCCTCATAAACCTAGTCTGTCTAATTTTACTTTTTTTTGAAATGAATTTGAATAATTGTAAGTTAAGATTTGTTGTCCATTCTTGACTTCTTGAACACTTCATAAAGTCTTGATTGCATTTTCATGCTTGACATGCCTGTGTTGTAAACTGCTCTGCTGTATTGTAAACGAAGTACTTGACTAAAAACTAAGAAAGATACTATCATACTAGTCATGAGAACCTGCAACTGCAGAGTAATGTTTAATATGCTATTTTATTACTACAAAGTCTCACTTGTTCACTTTTCATTTAGAGAAAAATCAGAAAAGCTTTGAGAAGACTCCATAACTTTTTAATAAACAAACCCAAATGCAAGACATGTTGTTCATGCTATTATTGTACCAATCACACTCCACCACCACCACCACTTAGTGGTGGTGCCAGGTGACTGAAACTGATTTATTGTACATGCTTAATTATGCTTATAACAGGTTTGCTTCTTTGCTATTTGAAGGTTGCTCAGGTAATGACCTTTGAATTGCTTGAAATAATCTTGACTCTGTAAATGTATACACGCATGCATACTTAATCTAATCAATGAGTGAGACAATTAAAGTAGATTTATTATGTACATACTCTGAAATTGTAGCTATAGCACTACCTCCTCTGTAGCTATGGCTCTACCTCCTCTGCTCCAACACATTTGGATTTTGGAGGCTAGAACGTATGCCTTTTGCTTATTATTATGTGTATATAAAATTAATTCAAATAATAATTGAAATAGGTTTTGCGTTCATCATATCTTGTAAGGTTGTCAGATTCTGGAATAATAGGTGATGCACTGTTTATAGTATTGCTTCTTTTCATTTTATCTTCGTTTTCCCAGACAGACCTTTGCTATCCTTACTAATGATATTTCTGTGAACCATAAAAAACAGGCAATTCAACTCTTTGCCATCTACAAATTGTGCCCAGTCAGTACAATTTTTAAATATAATTCTTTTATTTTCCCATACTTTAGAGTTCTAAACTCAAATATATGTAGCTGCATCTTACTGTCTCTTTTCTTCCAACTTTACCTAGTCAGTGCTTCCTTGCTAGGAGTGCCACTGATGAGCAGTCCTTCCCTCAGCTCTGCAGCTCCAATAATTACCAATTTCCTTGCTTTGTCTTTCGATTTCAATTTCAGAAAAAAATTACTGATTCTATAAATTCTTTGCTTTTGAATATAAGAGAGAAAATTAAAGGAATCCTGCCAACTATTGACCAATAGCAGCCTACACTCCATCTCTTTATGTTTGATGATGTGTGGACAAGCAGTGCAACTTTAAGGGCATATAAAGTATTAATGCAATATTTATAAATCATTTTAATAGAGGGAAACAAAAATTAGGGATGCAGTTACAAAAAAATGATTCAAAAGACATAATTAAAAAGTTGCTGGCAAAATCCAACAAAATGCATGAGCAAAAAAAAGAGAGCAGAAATCTATAAGTACTAGTGGATGCTCATGGAAAAGATTAGAAGAAACATTGATGAACATGATGAATAAGGTTGTGTCACTTTTTAATCAATGAGAAAAAACAAAAGGGTTTTGGTACAGATCAGTGCTGCTTTAATTGTATCATTCATCAAAAAGTTTGAGCACATTATATTAGTGAAAATCTTTTTTAGAGTCAATTCCTCTTAAAACTTTCAATATTCTTAGTAGCCAATAAAGTTGGTCTGGCCTGAGAACTAGGTCCAGTCCAGGGATCTGCTACACATACTCAAATGAGAGATATCTCAGACCCCATCCCCTGGGTGTACTGTTTTCTATCATATAGTGTCATTCACATCTAGGATTCAAAGCAACGTGACTTAGTCACATACAGTAAGAGAATAATCCACCTGGCCCATTCACACGGAAGCTTGGCACGGCTTGAGTATGAAGCGGCTCAAGAAAGTAGTGGTGCATCAAATACACTTAATCTAGAAGAATATGGTTCCATCATTGATTACATGAGTCACTCCCAGAAGACCAGTGTGCCTTATTATAATGAAATGGCAGTGAGGCATTGGCAGCAGTATTAGTAATGGATATGACATAAGAAAGAGGAAAGAGACTGCAAGGTCCTGAGAGAGCAATGGGAAAAAACCCCTCAATAATAGCTCTGGATCAAATTCTATGTGCAAACTGTAAACTCTTAATGTCTATAATATAAATTCTTGTTTGGTAGAAATGCAAATGGGTGGATAAAATTGAGAAGGAACTTTAAAATAGAAAAGAATATAGAAACATTAAAATGACACCAAAGCTTTTTATCTTTTGAGAGGCCTTATTGTAGTACCAGAACATGAGCTAGAGGGTCCTATGCAGTGAATGACATATTAATGTATAAGAAATACAAATTTTGTGTGATTGACAAAGGTGAGTACAGGACCTACAGTTTCTTGTTAACATGGTTGTGTTAGGAAGTGAAAAAGGCATGCAACTTAAAAAAGAGCTGTATCTCAATGATGATGATGTAAGTTGGTTGTCAGTGTGTGTAACATGTGTATGTACTTTTATCATTATCTGCATACAGGATGATATTCATACTACTGCCACTACTATACTAGCTGGAAATTGGTGGATGTGCACATGGTGGCTGATAGCATTAATATAAGCTGAATTAGATTGTTTTTAACAATTCTAAATAAAATTGAAGTTATCATTGTAACACTGCTCCTTTTGCAGGCTTGTCGACTTGCAAGGCCAAATCAAGGTAGATTTGTCATTGTTAACCGAAGTGATTAAGCCAGAACACCCGTTTTCTTACAAAATTACCACTTTAAATGTGTTGTTGATGGGCTCTTTGTTTTTGAACATAAATATCATGCTAAATGTTCAAGTGTGACATTAAATGATTTTGATGGAGCAGTTCCACATCACATCAAATTAAGAAGATTGGAGACGCCACAGCGGCCACACTCTTGTGATTTTTTGTTATAGTTCTTTCATCATCCTGTATAAAGAAAGATAGAGGGATCCTGCCAACTACAGATCGATAGCTCTCCAGCCTACACTCCGTCTCTTTGTGTTTGCTGATGTGTGTCTCTTTCCTCATGGATCCCATATTGCAGTACAGGAATGACCCAATCAAAATCAGTTGCCTTTAAAAATTGGAGAAGGTTTTGTCTTTTGGAGATGATCAAGAAAGTAGTCCTTAAGTATCGTCAAATCAAAGCAACAACTTCAACAAGGTAGAATATCAAGTATCCACACAGTATTTATAAATAACTTTCAATAGAGAAAAACTGAAAAATTAGAGAGACAGTTACAAAAAAGCAAACGACTCAAAAGACACAATAAAGACGATGCTGGCAAAATTGAACAAAATGCATGAGCAAAAATCTATAAGTACTAGTGGATGCTCATAAAAAAGACAGACAAAGACACATTGATGGATATGATGAATAAGGTTGTGTCATGTTATTAAGGTTGTAAGGTTGTATTTCTGTATACGTTGTTGATTCATGAGACCTTATCAAATAAAGCCATCATAACTATCACACTGATTATTATTTCTGTGGCAAAAAGGTGCAATTACTAAACTTATAATTTACAAATGTAGAATGCTGGAATGAGACTAATAATGTTGCTGGTAAAGCATCAAAATCAAAACATGGTGCATTTTGAAGAAGCTTCATGTAATGTGGCTTGTGAAGGATCAAGTTTTGCAGCAACCTCTATTGGTTTCGTTATACCAGGTGAAGGATTAAATGACCAATATCGAATAGAACCGGATTCAACATCTTGGCCTGCACTAATTGTCACAAATTTTTAAAACAGTGAAATTAGTGAGATCAATTCCCCATAAAATCACAATAGATCTGTCTATGGTGAAATATGCCCTATATAGTAAATACACCATGCACTACTGTCCTGCTTTAAGCAGGACAGTAGTGCATGGTGTATAGCCTATACATATAATTGCTAGCCAGATTCAGACTCACGAGATCGTAAGTCCTGCCTATTTCAACATCCTATCACTTTCAGTGCCAGTACCCTTTAGACTAGACTAGTAGCCCATGATGCCAATAGCTACATGAATACTGGTGTTAACACTAACCCTTTCTATTACTCTAAGCACACCATTGCACTAATAATTATTATTCATTAAATTCACAGTTACCATAACAACAAGCAATTATTAGAGCAGTTTCAGCACGTGTATGTACACTACAGAAGGGATGAACTCGCGAGCAAAAGAAATTGTAAGAACCATGCTATCAAACTAATAAAGTCATTTTATACGAATTATTGGTATTTAGTATGACCGTCCACCTCCTAACATCGCTATAGGCAAGTGGTAAGCGACAACTTGACTGTTTATACATAACCTGCACGTTAGTTCACACTTCCTTTGAAGTAAAGTATGAATACCATTAAAGAGTGATTAAATGTAGGCGTAGAAATCTTCACCCACACAAGTACCCACACCTCCTTGGTTGGCAGAAAGCTACATTGAAGGAATGGAGATAGAGGAAAATTTCCAAAATAAGAAGGAAAGAAGTTGTTTATAGCAGTAAAGAGACTTCTCACTGATTCATAGGTGTACTGACTTCCAGATACTGCCGTAATGGATATTGAGCCAGTATAGCAAAAGTCAATTTTCCATTGGACTTAAACCTTACTTTAAAGTGGCCAGAAGGTATTTATTTTAAACAGATTTGGTCCAGAGTTACGCTATCGTGGCAACCACTCAAAGATATGGAAAT